CCTAGTGAGGATTAAGGTGTAGAGATGATGGATGGATGGGTTTATTCTGTCTGTCTGGGATCTGTCAGGCTCAGTTTAGTGTAAAAGCTGGAGGCAGGGGGAGACTGCTAGCTCAGCTCAGACCTTAAATGTCATGAAGACACACCTTTGGAGATGCCACATGCAGTCACTGCACCGAGGACTTGACTTCCACAATGAACCAGACAAGGTTTGCTGATCTGACACACCTGCTGGCTGCACAATATCAGTTCCTCCAGCAACCCTAGTGAGGATTAGGGGTGTATAGATAATGGATGGACACAGTGGGCCTTATGCTGTTCAGAAACACAGGCAGAGGGGTTGGTCTAACTACAAATGATCTAGAACTCATATCAGCTTTCAATTGCTAATAGGTCTCAGCTTTAAAGACCAAAATTTAAATCTCAGATTGTGTGAAGTCTTATGTCTTTCCCCAGTAACCATGATGTGCAAGGCTGAATGAGCAAGACCAATATGATTAATACACTTTTATATATTGTAAACCATGTGAAGAAAATCACCAGGAACAGCTGTAGTACAAGAAATAATGTGACTGTGACCTGTCACGGTGGGTTTAGAAACAGAAAATAAACAAGCAGCTGAAGGTACCAGTTCTGAAAGACCAAAGCTGCAGGCAGTGAGAGCCAGACTGGGTCGGAGCGTAAACTATGAATCAGCTACGGGGTGTTGGGGGATTTGCTAAAACAAGTCTCTTGGACTAAAGGATCTACTGCTAACATCTTGGTGGCTGATACCACGGGGGCCTTCAGAAGTTTAACCTGAGTGGGTTGGAGTTGTGTTAGCAGCATCAGACAGGCCGTCTGCAGGGCTGGTCATAATGCTTCAGCCCCTCAGTGTATTTTTCCACAGTGGTTCTGTTGGAGTGGAAGCAGTTGAAGCATCTGTCTATATTTCACAATTTAGGCATATTTAAAATACTGAAAAAACAAAAATTCCAGTTGATTAAATAATTCAACACGTGGCCTGTCCTGGTAGCTAGCAAAAAGTGCAAACAACAAATACAGGCTCAAGTAAAGGTTTCCCTCTAATCGCTTCGCCATACTACAAGGCCACATCATATCCACAGTCCCAAGATGGTGACGTTTAGTAACTGAAGAGAACATTTATTGGATGAACTTGTACACTGCTCTAAGTCATCCCCATTATGATGGACAGTCAGACTAAGTATACTCAGCTCATGGACACTTGGTTTGGACTCATACTTTCCTACAGAGCTCCTCTGCAGCTTTTGAAGTAAAAGTTAGTCTACCTACTGTGGGATTTTGAACTCCAGACATTTAGGACTCACTGCACTGTCTTTAACTCAGGACTTACCAGTGCCCTGCCTGCAAAGACTTTTGATCTCCTCCTGTTAGATGTATTGGCTGTAAAGACTTTCTGACACAGGTGTGTAATTCTTCCTCGTCTGCTCTTCTGGTTTCTGTTTGCTGGCGTCAGAGAGGACTTTAGCTTCACTCCGTACACCACCTACTTCTACGTGAAGCTGGGCCGCAAAGCGCCTCTGCTGAAGAGCCAGACTCTCACAGTGAGCATGAAGATGAGGACGGCAGGGACTGGAGCTGCTGTGGTGAGTGTGTGCTGGCCACAGTGACACTGTGCCCGTTACATTCTACCTTTGTCAAAAGCAAACTAAACACTATGTTAACATACGAATTCTGGCCATCCAAGTCATTCCCTCTTATGTCCAGATAACATGAGTTTTTGAAAAGCCAGAATAAGCTTTAGACCTTCTTCTAATATCTAGTTCAAGGATTCAAGGCCTTTATTGGTCACAAACACAGTTATACATGGTATAAGGTGCAGCGAAATGCGTTGTGGACCTGTTCCACACCGAAACAATAATAATAAGATAAACAAGAGTTTAGAATTAAACACACAAGAAATAAGTCTCTCTAAATGTCTAAAAGTCTAAATGAGTATATATATATATATAGAGAGAGAGATATAAAAAAACATAAGCAAAAATAAATAAATTGAAACGGTGCAAGAGGAGATTAAAAAATACAATAAATCCAGAAAACAGTAATATTATATACATGTTTATCTGCATAGTTTAGGTGTTTGGTCTTCTGCAGTCTTCTGCAGTTTCTATGTGGTTACTGCTGAATACTTGTGTCCTACTGGACCTTTAATTAACAAACATTCAGGAAAACTGTCAACATAACTTGCAGCAGGTCTTACCAGCAGATAACTTGTTTTATTTGCTACTAATTAAGACGAAATCTACAATCAGACTTTGTTAGTTGCTGCAAATTCTTTTTACATCCTGGAAACGTGGTCTAGTGTCAGACTGCTGGTCAGTTAGTGTTCAGAGAGACGTGCTGGCCATCATATATGACATCATCATTCCAGCAGAGGTCAGGCTCTTCTTTCTAGACGCCCACGACGCTTTGTTCTGTATCTCCTGTGTTTGTGTATTCAGTGTATTTCTTCCAATACTGTCTGCTCTCTTTTTAAAGTCTCTCTAACCAATCCTCCTTCTTCCGATGTGTCTGATGTGTCTTTCCTCCATCTCACTTTAAAACGTTTTCACATCTTTTCTTTATATCTCAAAATGTCCATAGAGGTAAGTGACAATTGAATTGAAGATTAATTTTGTCAGTTCAAAAGCCTGTTTGTCCACATTCTGATGGCAGGATGTTTGTGTTTTCATTTCATTTTTAACAACCTGCAAAAGAGGAATAATCATCACGTGACCTCCACACAGCTGCTGATTCAGATCATTAATACTCTAACTTGATTAATCATAGATGTATAGATCTGTGTAGGTCCTCTAGTTTCCACTGCTGCCCTGCACACAAGAAAACATATTGTGGTTGTATTTTTTGTTTCATATGGCATGCTGGTTAGGAAATTAAATATATATATTATATATAACAGTCTGAATATATGGAATGAAAGTTTGAATATGTATCATGAAATTCAGGAATACATTATATATATTCAGACTTTAATTATATATATTCAGAGATTCATGATATATATAATTTCCCAAACGGCATGCCATAGTTTACATCAATGAGGAACTCTATGGCCGGTTTAGAGGACGATACATTACGACCAAACGTTTTTGGCTTCAGAGCCTTTATAAGCTTGAGCATTAAAGAAACTTATCAGTTTATTTTATCGATAATAAATTCCAAAAGGATCATTTTAAATGTGTATTTGTGATGGCGGTGAAAGGTAATGTTTTAGGAATAGAAGTTCTGTAAAGTCTTAGTGGTTGAAAGCTTTGAACATACTTGATGTGCGACTAAAACTGTTTTGTTCTCATCATGTGCTATAGACTAGATCGCTCCAGCAAGTCAGATGGAGTGGACTTTTATATCATAAAGAGTATTTACTATAAAGCAGACCAAATTAAATACTGATGAGTTCAACAGGATGCAAGTAGTTGGTCGGTTTAGCCTCGGCCTGAGAGATCCCCAGGAAGCAGTGGTCTGAGCACAGAGAGCATCCAGCCGTCATCATCATGGACTGCTGTGATGACAGAGCAGATGAATGGATGCTCATACGAGTTCCTGTCCCAGACTTGCGTGTCCCATGTCCTCCTCTCAGGTGTTCCCTCCTCCACCCATGTAGGTAAAGACTGTTGTTAATGACCTGCAGGTAAAAGCTGCGAGTGGCCAGGGCAAATCCAAAGAGGGAAAGAGATCAGTTCAAAGCGCTGGAGACGCCCCTGTGTCCAAGAAAGTCAAGAAAGACCTCCCCTAGCCCCCCTGTCACCCCACCCAGAAGACAAGTTGGCAAAGTACAGTCCATCATTCTTTACTCTGTTCACTTCTGCTTCTGTTAGCATGGCACTGTCCAGACTTCATGCTTCACATTTGGCTTAGAAAAAGTGCTAAAGGATGATTAAATCAGAATTTTATTTCATTTAAAAAGCTTTGTAAGTTTTAAAATAATGAGCATGGTGTTGTCTTATCATTCTAATCAATAGGCTTGGGCGATAAACATTATTGGCACCACAACCGCTTCTTGGTGCATTAATAGACTTGATTTGCACAGTTAGCATTTTTCTGGTGACAGTATTTGCACAAAGAAGAACAAAACTGCTTCTCACTTATCCACGCTGCTAATAGGTGCATAACTAGTCCTCAGATGAAGATGTATAAATTAACTAAGAACAGCTTTAACTTTGTTCAGAAGTTCCTGTTGTGTCATTATTCAAACTCTTAATGAGTCGTGACACGATGATGAGGCTCCACTAGGAAAGTTAACCAGTTTGACCTGATCCAGGCTTAAAATGGTGAGATTTCATTAAAATCACTTCAGTCTATGTGACTCATTTAAGAAACAAACCGTTTGTACCAGATTCTGTTAAGAACATACAGTCCCTAACCATCTTGTTAATTTCAAGTTGTTGTTTTTTTTAACTTGGTAAAACAAATTTGAAAAAGAAAATCTACTTTTTTTTCTGATTTCTGTCATTCTAACTTGTCATATTGTACAGAAGTGATTTCTAAGCTCTCACAGCTACTAGACATCTCTGTGCTGTTGTCATAGAGGTGCAGTGCTGTGAAAAATAAGCCCACAGTGAGTGAAAAAATGCGACAGGAGCAAAACAAACAGAAATGGGTTAGCCGCTTGCTGTAGCTACGTACCATCGGCTGTACTGACAACTGTGCCTGAACTACACTGATGCTGAAGAAATCCTAAAAAACTGATAATTGTCAGGCAAGTTCTGAAGTGTTTAAGGTAGCATACTGTACATTATCTTGTGTTATCAGTCAGTAAGTTATAGTCACGAGGTCTCCAGTTATTTTTCCATAACTGCTACACCATGCGAGTTTATGTCCTGCCAGCAGTCTCACCGTCATCTCCAGGTTGTGTGGATAGTTTGTTCAGACCGGTGGCAGGATTATCTGCTCGGCGTGGCTCACTGGTTCTCAAACAACACAGTGACCTTTGAACACAGACACATCATTACATCTTGACAGTTGCAAAATGTGAGTATCGCCCAAGCCTATCTGGTGCCAGTGTCCACACTCAGGAGCATGCTTCAACTAACACTGACATTTCATTGCGATCTGGCTGGTTTATTCTCACCTACTAATGGAGACGGTGGCAGAACTCTCTGTTGTTACGTCTACTTTAGCTCCATGTTGCTTTGGAAGGCCAAAGACAGTTCAGCTGTGTTTTCACAGACTGGACTCAGTATGTGCACATCCTCTGGGTTGGTCCAGCATGTTGCTTCATGCTTCACCTTCCTGCTGCTGCTGCTGCTGCTCACTAACACTGGATTTTGTGGTTACAGGACACATCAGCTGTTAAAGCCAATAACAAGGAGGTTAATGAGACTTTTGACCCCACTGTGACGGAGAACAGCTGCCTCTCACAACCCAGACAGAAACTATTTAAGGAACAGAGGAATCTGTCCAGGAAACAAGACCTGAAACCAGTCGACCAGACAGATGGACAGACAGACAGAGCAAACATCCAGCTGACAGACAGACATGGAGAGGAAGGAGATGACAAGAGGAGACCCATCATGTCCCAGCATGTGGTTGAGGTGGATGTTGAAATTAACAGAGTAGATCATGTAGCTGTGAATGATGTTCAGAAAACACCTCCAGTTAAACCTTGTTCCAAACGTAAATCCACTACCCCTCAGAGAACGAGGAGGAAACCCCGTGCTAACGTAGCAGCAGGTGTTCCCTCTGCAAGCCCAGGCAGTGGCCCCCCCGCCCCCACAGTGCCCAGCTCTCCATCCCAGGCCTCCATCATCTCTGACACAGCGGCTGAGGAGCTCTGTGACCTCAGAAACTACTACAGCAAGCAGCTGAGGAGAATAAACTACATTTCCCATGAGTACCTGGGGGAGCCAGCAGAGCCAGGAGTGCTGGCGTGTATCAGGGAGCCTCTGAAGAGCCTCCGGCTGCCTCGCAGGATGAACATCACCCAGACGGCCCGCAGCTTGTGGACACGGGTCAGCGGCAGGAGGAAGCTGGTTCACCGCTGACGCTTCCAGTTACTGCTGTGTGCTGTGAGCTCTGTCTGCTGTCGTAGGTAAAGAACGAAACTAGACGTAGGATTTAAAAATTACATGTGGAGTGACCTGTTCCTTTTGTGGAGAAAGATAAAATGAAAGCAAGAAAAACTTATGCTGCTCCACATAAACCACAACTGTGCACTGATCTGAGCTGAAGATAAACCGACTGAATGCAAAGTGACACATGAGTGATGATAGATGCTGTGAGAGTGAAACAGTCCACCACCATATCACCCTACATGGATTAAACAGTGCAGTGAGAGGACGAAGGGGGAAAAAAATGTAAATCAAATCTTCATCTAAGACAGGATCCTTAATCTTGGCAGAAGTCCAGGATGCAGCCTGTCAGAGCACACTGACAGAAAACTGTGTGACCTGGTCGGTGTCTTTGTGTCTCCTGGCTGCTCGAATGTGTTGCCATCGTTTCACTGGTTCCCCACATTGGCCTTTATGTTGACGTCTATCAGATTGGCAAAAACTTTCTTAATTATCACACAACAGCTGCATTTCACACTGAGCTGATCAAATTTAGAAAGAAAGAAGATCTTCCTGTGGGAAGAAAACTTCTGTTGTGAATGTAAACGTTATTTCTCTGGACTTGATTTGAACCACAGGAGGGGCAGCGAAAAAACAGGAGGTAGTTCTTCCTGTATAGGAGGTGAAGCAGAAGCCACATCGACGCTCTGAACCAGTTGGCAGGTCATGTTAAAAAATCACAACACCTCCCACTGAGAAGTACATTCAGTACAGATGGGCTTTCAGTGGCTTTGAATGGCCTTTACAGGAATGCAGGATGTGACAGAAATGTGAAAAAAAATCCCTCTGCTATTGTGTTGCCACTTATTTTGATTTAAATAAATATACTGTTTATAAAGCAAACTTCTGGATCTTGATTTGAAGCTTGTGTATGTTGTACCATCTTCCAGCTTGTCAGAGTGAATATCTGATGAACTGAATGCTGCTGACACTGGTTTAGGACGATTAAATGAAGTGAGGTGAATGTACAGGTTTTTATGTGCTGTGTGGCTTCCCAGTGTCCTCTTGTGAGGAAAAACAATCTGGACCCAGAGGAAGGAATGCTCACAGTGATGCCCTTTGCCTGTGCAGGAACTAGAAATGCTGCTGCTTCACTGGCCACAGTATTGAATGTCTTTTCACATAGCTCATGTAATTCTTCATTTTAATGTCATGGCTGCAGCAGTAGCTCCATCTTTCTCATACTGGCTGATAGTGACACATAGAAGAGCCTCAAACTTTGAACAGCTCACATTAGCTTCCAGCTGATGTCTAAACAAAACTAGTCGTGTGCTGTGGCTGACTGAACAAACACCCGCCTCCCAGAGGTTCAAAGCCAGGAGATTACCTTCATTCTGGGACTGCCGTCCCTTTGAACATTGCTATGTTTAGTTGAAACTCATAATCACTGACGTGATGACCGATGTTTTATTTCAATAAAAAATTAGCATGAGGATAAAACACAGACTGCATGGTGGCTCAGTGGTTAGCACTGTTGCCTCACAGCTAGAAGGTCTCCAGTAGGCGTCCCGGTGAGGACACCCGGGATCTTTCTGCGTGGAGTCTCCATGTTCTCCCGTGCAGCGTGGGTTCTCTCTGGGTTCTCCGGCTTCCTCCCACAGTCCAGAAACATGTTGAGGTTAATTGGTGATTGTAAATTGTCCGTAGGTGTGAATGTGAGTGTGCTTGGTTGTCTGTCTCTAAGTGTAGCCCTGTGATAGACTGGTTACCTGTCCAGGTGAACCTGCCTTCACCCTGAGTCAGCTGGGATAGACTCCAGCCCTCCATGACCCTAGTGAGGGTTAAGGTGAAGAGATGATGGATGGATGGATAAAACATGAGACAACAAAATGAATAACATCAGCAGTTATATTTTCTTGATCTCATGCTGTGCTCTGTTTGAAGCAACTCTTCAGGTTTATGTTGGAACCTCTGGGCCTGATGTTGGAACAGGAGCTTTGTTTGAGATGCACCAGTCACTCACCTGTTTCCTGAACACAGGCTTTTTGCTGCGTAGCTCAGCTGTTTCAGAGGAGAAAGCATCAATAGACTTGTTTCTTTTGACTTCCCTGAGCATTTCTCACCATAATATCCATTACTACAGGAGATGAACAGGGTTATTTGCTGTGTACCAAAACACAGACACTTGATAACTGATGATCTCAAATGCTTAAAGAGGTCAGAAATTCCTCAAGTTAACACTCACCAGGCTGAAGGGCACACGGAAACCCTGTGCCAAGCTGGTGTCCAGTCATACTGTGACTACACGGAGGAATCTAAGATATGAAACTGATGTTTGACTTTTTTTTCCCGCTACATAACTCCATATATGTTATTACTATGGTGTAGTTTAGATGTCTCCAATTTTGTTCTGTGAAAGAAAATGAAAAGATAAAATTATAAAATAACAAATCCCTCAGTGTGTCCAAACTTGACTGTATTCTGAGCTGTACAGACAGACACAGTCATAGCAGCACATTTAGCAGCTGAACAGTCAAACTGTTGTCATGACCTACAGCAGAGAGGACGGCTCTCAGGCAGTCTGCTGTGGAGGCAATGCAGCAGCTCTCTGCTCTGAATGTTCAGTTAGTGACTGCTAACCCTGATGGCTTCCATCAACTACGAATACACTCGCATATATAAGTACTGCCGCTTTAATTTCATTTATACCCCCATGATCTTATTTACATAAATATACATAATCGCTGCGCCTCAGTCAGCCCGTGTGCAGCTAACTTCCCACTTCCCCACACACTTCCTCTCTAATTGCTTTTCAGACGTCTTTCTCGCTCATATTCATTCACACACAACAGCACACAATGCAATTCCCCAAACTGTATTTAGAGTAGATGGTGCATTCAGCATAGAGCTTTCAATGAATAACTAATGAGATGGATTCTGGAATCAGCTTCAAAGAGAATCATCTAGAGAGCAGGAGCACACTCTGTTGTGAGTGTTTGATAACCAGCTTGAAGAACACCTGATAAGAGCCGTCATCTCTGCCTGTCTGAGGCGCGCTCGCGTCTCCGTCTGAGCTACTGTTTGTGACGTTGCATCATTCATGCTCAGCAGACTTCAAAGGTGAGGTAGGTTTGTACACTAACTGGGTGTATTCACAGTCCTTGGACAGTCTGCAGAGAAGAAGACTGCTTTGCTCTTTGCTGTTTATTAGATACATTGGAATGATGCATCCATTCTGAACCTGAGATTTTAGCCGTAACGAGAGAAGCGGTCACCCAGGATCTTGTCTCTGGAGTCCACCAGAACCTTGAGGCACTGTCCTCTCACAGCCCTGCTCTGGTCGCCCTCTGACACCACACAAAGCCCCTGGAGGTGAGAATCACGCAAAGATGAGTTCACAGTCTGACAACCTTCCATCTCTGGTTTACATTTCATCCTCTTTTGCTTTGCACAACAAGCCCAAGCTTCAATGAAATGTCAGAATTTGCTATTTCCTATCACAAAAAATAGTAATGTCCTTGATGCCATCACCCAAACCTTAACAAAGTTTAAGGATTTAGAAGCATTTAAGAACCCAATGAGTTTACTTTTGAAATAAAACTGATCAGATGGCAGTGGAAGTGATCGTCTGACCTTCTTTTGTACAAAAGTCAGATTACCTTGAGTTGCATCTTTCTCTTGAAGCGGTGTCCATCAACGTGCAGTCATTGTTCACCTCTTAGAAATACGGCTGTGACACAAAAGAAGGATGTCTACAGAGGTCTCGGATTACAAGTGCCATCTCTAGTGGCAGTAGCAGAAGTGTGTTTCAGTAGACCAACAGGAGAAAGAACGACGCCACAGTGATTAAACCCACAATGGAGCATGCTGCTGAGAATATTCAAGTCTGGAGGGTTGGACTCCTGCAACGAATGAACTCCACCCTGCACAAGTAGAAGCAGCACGACATCCTCCATGCTGCACCCTCTGGTCTGCATTGGAGCAGCAGGATAGTGAGCTCTGACTGAAAAACCAAAGGAGGAGTGCTGTTATGGACTCCAACGTCACCTGACCTCAGCCACCACTGAACATTTATGGGCCACTTGAAGACTAAAAAGGACTTGTGTATGCTAGTGTAACATGGATTGTACATTTCAGCAAATTGTTGTTAAGCTGAAGAAACAAAACCTTCATAAAATATGAAAGAAAAACATAAAAAAAAAAAAAAGACAGATCAAAGAGAATTACAATAAAATACATCAATTTCTTTTAACGTACAAAAAAGTCTTTATGATGATCGTCAGTCTGGAACAAAAA